TTTTTTTTTTTTTTCTTTTTTTGGTGTCTGTTTTTCTTTTTCCCGTGAAGTAGTTTACCTGAGGCTGGTTTTGTAGATGTGTTTTTCGAACCTGAATGTCAGTAGGTAGATAAGTCTTCACGTAGCACAAGAAGTGTTTCTTAGAAACTGTAATAAGTAAATGTGCATTAAATTACATTTTTATTTTGTGATTTTTTGCTGGATGAAGAGTTGAAAAGGTTTCAGATGAAATCGGTGGTTTTTCACTGCATTAGACCTTGTTCTGTTTCTTCATTTCCTGTTTTTGCTACCCGACGATGGAAGGGCGGCATCAAGACAATAGAGCAAGTGAGGAAGGAAATAGAAGCTGAAGAAGCTGCAGCAGATGGTCGGGATATAGAAGAACTGAAAAAACAACCAGTTGTATTCGGTACGTCAAACTGTTTTAAAGTTGTTTGGCATACTATTTTTAGAAAAAGAAATTTCTACTGTTTGTAGTAGATAAATTGAATGATTTTCGTGTCGAAGTGTTGTCTGCCCATTTTTCATCAGAGGTTAATGCTTTCTTATACCGACTTATGTAAAAATTTTATTAAAACTTTCGGTTCAGGATGAATTATTTTAGGCAAGAGGAGAAGCATTATGGAATACTTCCACTACACTGACAGACCTGCTGGCCGAGGTTATACAGGTTTTGGTGGTACTCGGTATAGAAATAGGCCATGGGTTTGGCCCCCATTGAAAAGAGGTCTTCAAGTCACTGGTATTGTATGTTGTGTGCTAGCGCTCCCATTCGTCTTCTTGATTGAATGGTGAGTTTTGATACATTTGTTCTTTTCCCTTACCGTACATTAATGAACATTTTTTTATTCCGTTGCTTTAATATTCTGTCTTATCTGTTCTTTTTCATAAATGGGAAATTGGTATCTTTTTGTCTGCCAATTCCCTTGTTAATTTATGAGCTAAGAGTCATTTGGTCTTGGTGAGAAGAGCGTTATGGAGGAGTGAATGTGGCTTTTATTGTGGCTATAACGAAGAATAAGTCAAATGTTATAAGTTGACAGTGAGGGGATTTAGGGTAGGACAAGTTTTACTGAACTTCGTTTGTCGAATATTGGAAGGTCATGCACATTTTTCTTCACTCATTATTTTGCTACTTGTGCTTGAATTATATACGCGTTTTCATTTCCAAGTTAATTCCATAATTCACTGCAGCATTTGGATTGGGTAAACTCCAGCACTTAATTGATGCTCATTTTACTTCTTTAAACAGAATTAACTCTAAAAAAGTTAGAGCTTTTTGAAAATCGTCTTTTATGTCTTTTTTTTCATTTTCTGATGATGTACGATTCCTTCTCTTACTTTTTATTTCGACCGTCAGTAAAAGGGTTTTTGTACAAAGTTATAAGTCGATTTATAAGTTATTGAGGTTTTCTTGCGTAATATCTAGACTACTTCTCAGAATTCTTCCCTGCACTCCTATTTATTTGTCGATGTAGAGAAGTCGATAAGTCAGGAGGTGCGCCGGTTTATGACATCTGTACTATAAGCAGCATTTTTTTTGGTGAAACGACTTTTCGAAAGTACCGATTGACGGCTTTTTTCAAAGGCTAAACGTGATTCTTGATTGGTTCTACGTTTTCAAGTTTTATTCTTTCTCCGATATTCCCTTAAGTAACGCGAAGAATACGCTATTTATTGTTGTCAGTGTGCTCAGGGCATTATTTTAATTTTAAGCGAAAATAAAAGTTTTTTTATTGGTACTGAATAAAGTGCAAAAATGATCAAAGTTTCCTTTAGTAAGCCTGGTAATTAGTTCCACTGGGTTAGGTTAAGTGTTGCAAACTAGCATTGAACATCTCATATATATTTGGTATCGATAAGGAACTTAATATTCTTACTCAAGACTAATGCCATGCTCTAAATATGCTGATAGCAGTCAGTAGCGCATTCTTCGCACCATGTGAAGAAATACATGAAACTGAGGAAGAAAAAAGTTAAAGACGTAGGAGCAGTTAGGAATCACGCTTAGTTTTCTAAAAAAGAGCTTCAGATCAACCCAGTTTTTTTTACCCAAACGTGCTGGCAAATTTTAATAGGACTAGTACTGCAAGGTAGCGCATTTCTTGATCAGCACTTCTGTACTTACTAACGAACAGCAGGAATATAGGAAAAAGCCTTTACATCATCGTGCAAAAAAACCTGGGTGCTTGTCAATTATCTTATAACTTTTCAAAAAAAATTGTCTTGCTCACGGTCGAAATACAAAATAAGCA